ACAAATTAGTTAGCATAAATCAGTTAACTGACGAAAAATTGGGGGTCTATTTACTTGTGACCACTCAGTGTATATATGTGTATAAATTAACACTGTATTTTGTTTATTTGGTGGTACTAAAAACAATCCATTCTATGTAATAATATTTTCTGCGTTAATTGATATAACCTAAATCGTTTAAGTTTCACCCTATGATGGACAGGCAGTGTTTAGTGTATAGATAGTGTATGTATAGTGTATCATCGTGATTTTTTTCGTGACATGACCTTTGACCTTGTACCTCCTAAAACTAATCACTTCTAAGATGGGTCATATTCCAAATGTATATCAGCTTTCGTCCAAATCCATTCAGTTGTTTGCGAGAAATCCTGCTGATAATTACACACAGGGGTGAAAAACATGACCTCCGTCACCTTCGGTGGTGTAAGTAAAAACACAAACTTAAAAAAGGGAATTAATTAAATAAAATACAAGTTATCAAGTATTTTATCTTAACATAAGACCCATATTTATATGTAAGCGACACGTCCTATTAACTTATCTTTTATAAATATAGATATTTATCCACATAACAAAGTTTTGTAAATATTTTGTTCACGGTATCTTGCAAAATCTGCCTTCTTCAGAAGAACTAGCTGTATTTCATTCAGTGATTGGTATGACAACTTGTACAATAGTGTATGAAAAATAGTTTTTGGAGAAAAACGTAAATTACGTGTTCTGCGATACGATAAAAATCATTTAAAGTACTGGAGTCTACCTTGTCTTTCCATTACCCCCCCCCCCTCATACACACACACCAAACCCCAAATTCTGTATGATGATGCCAGATTAATCTTCAACTTTATCATCGTTTTCCTTCTTAAATTAAATATCTTCATTATCTTTAAATGGTATAAATTGTTCGTTAAAAAAGGGGAAAGATTAAACACTCCGTTAACTTTGTTTCTGTGATCATAATGGTGATAAACGCCGTTGATTTTGATCATATAAAGTGATACAACTTTTAAACTTATATATTTTGTTTCTGTGATCATAAATATGATAAACGCCGTTGATTTTTATCATATAAAGTGGCACATGTTTCAAACTTATATATTTTGTTTCTGTGATCATAAAGATAATAAACGCCGTTGATTTTGATCATATAAAGTGACACAACTTTAAAACTTATGTATTTTGTTTCTGTGATCATAAAGATGATAAACGCCGTTGATTTTGATCATATAAACTGACACAACTTTCAAACTTATATATTTTGTTTCTGTGATCATAAATATGATACATGCCGTTGATTTTGATCATATAAAGTGACACATGTTTCAAACTTATGTATTTTGTTTCTGTGATCATAAATATGATAAACGCCGTTGATTTTGATCATATTACAACTAGTTAACATCATCCACCACAACTAGTTAAAATCATCCACCACAACTAGTTAACATCATCCACCATAACTAGTAAACATCATCCACCACAACTAGTTAAAATCATCCACCACAACTAGTTAACATCATCCACCATAACTAGTAAACATCATCCACCACAACTAGTTAATAT